GACATAGATACTTTATTAAAGTATAGTATTTAAATATATGCCTGAGAAACACATAATATTGGCCCTTTAAGTACAGAGATGATTATAAAAAAGACGTGGATGTTCCTTCAGTCATAAATCCAGCTTGCTAATGTAAAGTCGGCTTCTGCTCTGATGATGAAGATGAGCACGCAGCGATAAAGATGAGAGCCCAGCAGCTGATACGCTCTGCAGGCAGAAGCTCATTGTTTGGCAGGCAGATATAAAAGTAAAAATGCTGGGTTAAATTAAGATTACAGTTCTCTGCAAAAAAGAATGCTCTAAAAWTTACATCATCTTTACTTTTTATGAAAGTTTTCTACCGTGATATATACCGTTATCGTGAAGGGGTTCAGTATATGCAGTGATATGAATTTGAGGTCATACCACCCAGCACTAGATGGATGGATGGATGGATGTGGATGGATGGATGGATGGATGTGGATGGATGTGGATGGATGGATGGATGGATGGATGTGGAAGCTTGGATGGATATGGATGTGGATGGATGGAAGGATGGATGTGGATGGATGGATGGATGATGTAGATGGATGATGTGAATGGATGGATGGATAGATGGATGGATGTGGATGGATGATGTGGATGGATGGATGGATGGATGGATGGATGGATGGATAATGGATGGATGGATGGATGGATGGATGATGGATGGATAATGGATGGATGGATGGATGGATGTGGATGGATGGATGGATGGATGGATGTGGATGGATGATGTGGATGCTTGGATGGATGTGGATGGATGATGTGGATGGATAGATGTGGATGGATGGATGTGGATGGATGGATGTGGATGGATGGATGGATGATGTGGATGGATGGATGGATGGATGGATGGATGGATGGATGGATGGATGATGTGGATGATGTGGATGGATAGATGGATGGATTGATGGATGGATGGATGGATGATGTGGATGGATGGATGATGTGGACGGATGATGTGGATGGATGATGTGGGTGGATGGATGGATGGATGGATGGATGGATGGATGGATGGATGATGTAGATGGATGGATGTGGATGGCTGGATGGATGATGGATGGATGTGGATTGATGGATGGATGTGGATGGATGGATGATGTGGTTGGATGGATGGATGGATGGATGATGTAGATGGACGGATGGATGGATGGATGATGTGGATGGATGGATGGATGGATGATGTAGATGGATGGATGGATGATGTGGATGAATGGATGATGTGGATGGATGGATGGATGGATGGATGATGTGGATGGATGGATGGATGGATGGATGATGT